TTCTGAAGGAGCACCCCAGACCCCAGAGCCACAATCCCCGAACCTCCCCCCCCCCCCCCACCCCTTCCTCCCTTCCCCCCCTCCCTTCCCCCCCAAAACAAAGCGCAAAAAGGAAAAGAATACAGGTGCCTTTTGGGGTTCAAATCTTTAGGGTGCGGGCCCAACAAGTGCATAACAGCACGGCGGCCAAGTGCTCCTGTTGGCCGGCGCCTTGGCCGCAGACCTCGAAAGGAAGCATTGATGCACTCACACGCTTCTTTGATGTCGGCAAAGGTTTTGCCGAACAAGAGGGTTTAGGGTTTAGGGTTTAAGGTTTAAGATTTAAACTTAAACCCTAAACCCTAAACCCTAAACTTTCCTAAACCCTAAGCCCTATAAACCCTAAGCTCTTGAGGCGTCCATCCCTCCCCCCGTGGTGGCGTCACTGCCCAATTTGCCGCCGACTCGGGGAGAGGGCGGGGGTTTAGAGTTTAGGGTTTAGGCTTTAGGGTTGAGTTTGGGGGTGTAGGATTTAGGGTTTAGGGTTTAGTTAGAGTGTAGGGGTTTATGGGTTAGGGTTTAGGCTTCAGGGTTCAGGGTTTAAAGTTTTGGGTTTTGGGGTTTAGGATTTAGGGGTTTAGGGGTTTAGGGGTTTAGGGGTTTAGGGTTTAGGGGGGGGGGGGTTTAGGGGTGTAGGGGTTTAGGGGTTTAGGGGTTTTGGGGTTTTGGGGTTTTGGGGTTTTGGGGTTTTGGGGTTTTGGGGTTTTGGGGTTTTGGGGTTTTGGGGTTTTGGGGGTTTGGGGGTTTGGGTTTAGGAGCTTAGGGTTACAGGGAGTTGTTCTGAATATAAAAATCAGGATCCTTTGCAGGTAGGTTTGTGTGTAGAGGCAGCGCCCTCCCCCGCACACAGGGAGTCCAACGCAAATGAACTACCCTGACTCAGGCTCTCACCTCTCGGGTTTAAGACGTGTTTCGGGCATGATGCATGCTTGTGAGCTTGCTTGCTTCACGTGCTCTGGTTGTGTTTCGGGGCTTGGAATCAGGAGTGCAGACTTGGCACGGAAGCCCCCTTAGCCAGACACTACCTACCCCAAGTAATACCCTATACCTGTGCCCTAAATCGTTTGCTGCTGGCTTACGTGGTGGGCCTCAAGGGCGCGCGGGATTAACATTGTGGTCTGTTGGTAAGGTCCCAGGTCCTTCAGGGAACGATGATGTTCAGGATCTATAAACGTTCAGGGTATGGCCTTCTTCGTGCGGAGCTCTGCAGATTCCGAGGCAACACGTTATAGCTTTTGATATATTCGCGAGGGAGGGGTCCACAAACGCATTGTGTCTCTCACCCGCGCCTTGAACAAGCAGCGAGTTTCCCCAGAGACTCCAAGACCCCTTAATTAAGGAATCCCCCTGGAACCCGAATATGAATAAAGGTATATTCCTTAATTACAGGTATATACACCTTAAATCATGGTTTACGGTATTTTCCCTAATTAAGTAGGAACCCGAATATGATTGAAGGTATATTCCTTAATTAAGGTGTTTGGGAGTCGCTCCTGCCGAGGCGTGGAACATCACGAAGACGTTCTGCGCAAGAAACGGTGGGGCCCCAAATGGTCCTGGGGGCTTCATGAGAAATTACCTAAAGGGCTCCTATGTAGTACGTTTTTGGGGGGTAATATACTAGAAGCCCCTATATCTAGCCCAAAAAGGAGCTGCATTCCAACTACATGAGACGTATGTAAGGAAAGCAAGGCCGCAGATTAATGTGTTTGCCACCCTGAAAACGATCAAGAATCTTCTATTCTCATTGAAACTCATCATTGATGCTTCGAGGCCTGTAGGCCTGTAGGGATTGCAATGGTTTGCAAGACCCTAAACCCTAGGCCCTAAGCCCTGAACCCATGGCTTGTTGGGTTTAGGCTTCCCGGGGGGGGGGGGGGGGGGGGGGGGGGGGGGGGGGGGGGGGTGGCCCATATGGGTGGTTGTGAACATTATGGTCCCTTTTTGGTGTCCCGAATATAGTACGGCACCCTAATATTGGGGGTTTAGGGTTTCGGGTTTAGGGTTTTGACAACCCATATCCCTAAACAGTATATACTTGGGCCCAAGAGTCCTTCAACAGCAAGGGCTTCAAGGCCCCAGTGTCTTATTGGGTACATGGACCCGAAACCCGAAACCCTAAACCCTAAACCCTACACCCCAAACCCCAAACCCTAAACCCTAAACCCCAAACCCTAAACCCTAAACCCTAAACCCTAACCATGCTCTTCTTGCCTGAAGCATGGACTTGCGGGTCAAGGAATGCTCGCGGGCTTCTGACAGCAAAGCAGACCCAAAATCCCTTAAAGCCCTCAAGGCATGAATCCCCCAATGCCCTGAAAAGCCCTTAGATTGGTTTAGGGTTTAGGGTTTAGGGTTTAGGGTTTAGGGTTTAGGGTTTAGGGTTTAGGGTTTAGGGCTTAGGGTTTAGGGTTTAGGGTTTAGGGTTTAGGGTTTAGGGTTTAGGGTTTAGGGTTTAGGTTATCTCAGTATGGCTCCGGCGGGGAAGTGACTAGGGTCCAGGGTTTAGGTTAATGGGGGGATCTGCTTCAAAGATTTCCAACAAATTGGACCTTGATGTAAACGCAGCCCCCCCCCCAAAAATTTGCTCACAGGACGGTCCTATCTCGTAAGTGGGGCTTGGGGTTTCGACGTTTCAATGCAGCAGTGTTTTGGGGATTGGTTCCTAGGGTATAGGACATCTCAAGAACACTCGCGGAACTTGGGTGCTACATTTGTAAACTCGTAGAAATGTTAGCATGGACCCTGAATCCTAAACCCCCTAACCCTAGAACCCTGAATCCTAAACCCCTTAAGACCTACTAAACCCCAAACCCTACCCTAAACCCTAAACCCTCAACCCTAAACCCTAAACCCAAAACCTAAACCCTGGGTTCCTAAACCCTACTTAAGACCTACTAAAGCCCAACTAACACCCTCCTATAAAGCCCCGGCCCACACTTGAGTTTTCGCTGTCCCATCGGAAGATGCTACATGAGCTGCGAAGCCCCAAGCCCTAGACCCTAAATCCTAAACCCTAAACCCTAAATCCTAAATCCTAAACCCTAGATCCTAAACCCTAAACCCTAAACCCTGAACCCGAAACCCTAAACCCTACAGACATCAATGCTAAGCAACGAAGCTTCGCCTTGCCTCTAGCAGCTCTTACACCCCAAGCCCTGAACCCTAAGGTTTAAGATTTAGGGTTTAGGGTTTAGGGTTTAGAATTTTCCTGTCGGAGCAGGTCTCGGACTCATCATCCGCAGCCACCAGTCAAAGAAGGGAAGCCGTCGCCCGGCTTCTTGAGCTCCACCTCCCCTTGGGTTTAGGGTTTAGGGTTTAGGGTTTAGGATTTAGGGTTTAGGGTTTAGGGTTTAGGGTTTGGAGGTCCTTGAACTCTAGGGCTTAGGGTTTACATGTTGCCAGCATGAAGTCTCCAATATACTACAGTTCAACATCGTGCCAATAGCAGTCATTACAAGAATCATCAGGACATCATCAAACAGGTGAACACAACAGAGAACAACTGATAGCCGAAGAGGGAACTCTGTGGATCTGGGTGGTGGGCTACTCCGTAACCGTAAGGGTCCAAAGAACCGAAGTAGCATATGCTTGGGCCCCAGAGTCCTCAACAAGTACATTTAAGGCCCAAGTATGCCCGTATGGGGAGCATGGACTCTTAGGATAATTAAGGGGTATTGGGTACAAGGAACTGTTTAGGGTTTATTCGAGCAATAGGATTGCAGGGGAGGCTTGATTTTTTAATGCCTGAGGATTGAGGGTCTATAGGGTTCAGGGTTTGTGGCGCTTGCATTGAGGAGGGTTTGTTTGGGCAGTATCAGGGATTTTTTTGTTGGATCTGGTATGGGGTTTTGGGTTTAGGGCTTGCTGTTTTGGGTGTCAGGCTTAGTTCTGTCTGGCTTTTGGGGTTGGAGGTTGGCGTTTGCAGTGTCCCAAACCTTAAAACCTGAAGGTCCAAAGGAAGCATGAACCAGTTCCCCCCAGATCCCTTCGTCCACGAGAAGAGGGTGCAGCGTGGGCGGCCCTTCCTTAAGAGCCCAACACCTACCCTAAGCCCTAAATCCTGCTTTGTTGTAGGTTCTTGTTTAAAAACCCTTATAGGGTTCTCAGGGAATACAAAAACGTAAGTTTTGGGTTCTGAAGGTAAGCCCTATACCCCAGGCCTCAAAAAGATTTTCACCCAAAACCCTAGTCCCAAAGCCCTAAACCCCAAACTGTAAACCGCAAGCCCTAAGCCTTAAACTGAATACTTTCAGAGTGCTCACGGGGCCAACCTACGCAAGGTGGCTTCGACGTGATGCATAGCAGCATGCTCCGGGCTCAGCTGGCACCTCCCCGTGTACTTACTTTACCTGCCTATAGGATTTAGGGCTTAGGGTTCAGGGTTTAGGGTTTAGTTGTTTAGGGGTCCATTATTCCTGGCGTCACCGACTCCTGCACCTCCTTGCCAGAGTCCGGGGTGCTGATGGGTGACCTCTTGCATTAAGCTGCGCAATCGTTGGTATATCATGTCTCATAGGAGCCCCGTCCCCAAAAAACAGAATATTCTTTCTTGTGAGGCAATTTGTTTATGTCTCGAGTCTTTTGGAGTTCTGAGGCAAATAGTAGTTTCTGCACAGAAACGTGACCAGCCTGATGACTAGAACTTCAGGCAGTCCCGCACATCGCAGCTGTACGACCATAATTAGGTTGCATTCCCTGAAATCACTCAGAGGCCCCAAAATTGCCCAGAGGGTCCATTTGTAGTAATATTCTGGAATTTGGTACCCCAAAACCCTACTTGGTAATGTTTTTGGGTACCTAACTCCACATTAGTACTACAAATGGACCCTCGGGGTTATTATGGAATTTGGCACCGGGTTACATGGATTTTATACCTATTTCCATAACAGTACCTATACATGGGACCGGGTTTAGCGGGGGGAGGGGAGGGGTTAAAGCCGTTGAAGGCTCCACCCTGAATGTTCAGCCCTTTTAGCCTTCACTTCATAACGTTAAGCCCTAAACCCTAAACCCTAAACCCTAAACCCTAAACCCTAAACCCTAAACCCTAAACCCTAAACCCTAAACTAAACCCTAAACCCTGTACCCTAAACAAAAAGCAAACCTTGAACCAGTGAGCCGCGAAGGTTGATGCGCGTCTTCTCAGCAAGGGACTACGAGGCGAGAAAGGGCAGTCACACTAGGGGGTTTAGGGTTTAGGGTTTAGGGTTTACGGTTTAGGGTTTAGGGTTTCGGGTTTAGGGTTTAGGGTTTAGGGTTTAGGGAGGCCCTTGCATAAGTTCCCTTATCAGCCCCTTTAGGGGAGTCTAGGACCCCGGCTATGGGCCCTGGTGCCCAGTTTTAGGAGGTTCTTCCTTGAAACCAAAAAGAGCACCCTTTGTATTCCTAGGTGGTTCTGGACCTTGGGACATGTTTTGTTCTTCCCCTTCTTGGGGTTTAAGAGGATCATATTTACGAAATTTGTTCGAGGGTTTTCATGGCCAACCCAGTATCTAAGGGTAGTTTCATGTGACCCTTAATCTGGTCCCTTACCCTCTTTCAAAGAGCTTGGGCGCAGGTTGAAACGGTTTCGCGTCCCACGGCTTTTGTAGCAGTTGATGGTCTGCATGCGAGGGTTTAGGGTTTAGGGTTTTTTAGGGTTTAGGGTTGAGGGGCCGCTGCTAGTTTCCCTTGTTGGATGGCTGCAGCAGCAAGCAACCCCCACTCCTCTCACCCACCTAACATAAACGTGTCTCTCAGGGGCACGGCAACGATGGAGCTGTGCTGCTCATCAAGAAGAAAAACGCAAAAGAGAAGCCCGGCAATGCTGAAGGCGGGATGGCTTCCTATATATCTTCAACTATCGCCCTGCACCCTAAGCGAGGTGTGATCCGCATGCGATCCAGAAGTTATAGTTGTTTTCTTGTAGCACGTTCCTTACAGTGTAAGGTGCCAACACAAGGCGCACAAAACCCCAAACCTTAAACCCTAAACCCTAAACTCCAAACCCCAAACCCTAACCTCCCCCCCGCCCACAACAGAAACAACTACCTGGGCTTGGGCAACTTTGAGAGTTAAATATTTTGTAGCAAAACCGCCACTGGGCCGTGGTGTAGGGTGTAGAGTTTACGGCAATGTTGGCGTGCTTAGAGGTTCATGGGCAGTTATATATACAAGTGGGAGTTATAAATAATATGACTATGTCATGTCTTTAACTGGTTATAACCTTATTCAGGGTACTTATGACCTTACTTATGAACCTTCAAGTAAGGACTCCCCACCCCCCCCCCCCCCCCCCCCAAGTGTTTCAGAGAAGCCATGCCGCGTAAAGTGTGCCATACTTGGCATAAGGGTTTAGGGCATATAGAAGCCACGGGTAGTGGTGTGCCAGAGGAGTTTCGCCCCCCTGTCTGCCGATGCCACTGTGTGGTTTTCTGTCAACAAGGCCACCAACCAGACCATTGCTGTCCTAGGTCTGTACGCTGATGACATCCTGGTCATCACTCCGGGCGAGTGTGCAGATGATATCATGAACACCATCCGGCAGCAATGTAAAACCTCTGAGCCAGAGAAGGTCACCGAGGAAAAGTCCATGACGATCCGAAAGGAAGGAAAGCGGTTCCTCCTGCATCAGCAGAGCTACATCAAGGACATGTTGGCTCAGTGGGAGATCGCTGACCCCGTGGGTCCTCGGCAGCGAGGCGAGGACAAGAACAACGAAAGTGTCGATGCCCTCGGTGTAAGCCTTGCATTCCTAGGCTGTGGCCAGGCGTCCAGCAGTGCGGCCGATTCTCCAATTCCAGAACTTGCCTCAGCCCAGCGCATCTTGGGCCTTGGGGCGCCTCAAGAGGGTATCCGCACGCCGCCCAGGTGGTGAAGACAGAGCCGGAAACCCTGGCCCCTTTGCCAGTGCTTTTGAGCCGCTGGGCTCTCAGGTGCTAGCCATGTCCTTTGCGAAACCAAGCACAAGGACATTAGATGCATATATATATATATAGTCATCTTATATCGCACTCATTGTGCTTCTTTCGCCTGAAGGGACTGGGCGCGCCGCCGGTTTTATGAAGTGTGTAGGATTTAGTGTTCAGGGTTTAGGGTTTAAGGTTTAGGGTTGGGCTTGGGGTCTACCCAGGGTAGCCTTTCATACGACCCAAGAGGGAGATAAACCCAACATGCATCTTTTTTGTGGTATACAGGTTGCTCTGCGGTATTCCTTGCGACTAGGATGGCGCAAGACGGGGCGCAGCGCGCTGAGCCCGAAACTCTGCTCATTTGTTCCCAAAGCCTCTTATAAGCCCCTCTGGAAGTTTCCAAAAATAAATGGGTCCCTCTTCATGACCCAAATAGATCAAGTAGCGTAGCCTTCAAAGGCCCTCCCGAAAACAAGGGAAACCCTTTGTCGAAATCCTCATCGAAACAATCTACCCTGGACTGTCAACCTAAACCCTCAAACGCTATAGGGGTCCTTGAGGGAGTGTGCTTCATGGGGTGGTAGACACCGAGGAAACTTTAGGGAAGCTTAGGGAGCCTTAGGGAGTTGTGGGGAGTATTCGGGAACCTTGGGTTACATGCGAATCCCCTTAAGAGCCCCATTAAAAAAAAAAAAAAAAAAAAAAACATACACCCAAATCCCTAAACCCTACACCCTAAACCGCTAAACCCTAAGTAAGTGGACTGGCGGCCAGGCAATGCCGACGAGTTGCTAATCGTGAGACCCCAGGTTCTAAGATCTGTCAAGAAGCAGCGCATGGAGGCTGGGGTTTAGGGTCTAGGGCGAGAGGTGTAGGAGTTCTGTTCGAGGGGCTGAGGAAGCTCTAGAGTTTCGGGGTTTTAGGGGTGTAGCTTTGGGAGTGTAGGATTTAAGGTTGAGGGTTTAGAGAGTTTAGGGGGAGGTTTTGGGGTGTGCTTTGCTAGCGCCTTGGGGTTGGAGGGTCTTTGATGGAGTGCTTGACGGGGACTGGAGGCTTTTAATTCGAGCCAAAATCAGGGGTCTTCTGTGCTCTGGGCAGTCAAACAGGGCATCATTTATTTCGGGTTTAGGGTTTAGGGTTTAGGGTCTCTTGTGTTTACATTTCATATCTTTATCCTGGTTGCATTCGCACCAGTCCTTTGCATGGTTGGACAGTGGGGGGGGGGGGGGGCTATGGGGAGGGTACGGGGGTGGGATGTAGTAGCCTTTGGCAATGCCATCGTTTATTGAGGTTTGGGTGTGGCGAGCATCCGCGCAAACATACCTCCCTAGCCCGAAGACCCCAGCCACCCTTTTTTGGACTGGAAAAGAGACTTTTTGTTTGTCTCAATTAGCTAGTCTAGGAGTCTAGGAGCTCTAAACCTTAAACCCTAAAACCTAAACCCTAAACCCTAAAGCCTAAACCCTAAACCCTACCCCCTAAACCCCAAACCACCCTTTGTACCTCGCTTCCTGCACCCTCACAAAAGCTCGAAGCTCCACCCTTAAGCCCTAAGCCCATGAAGCTTTGCAAACCAAATAGGATTTAGGGTTTCGGGTTTAGGGGTTAGGGGTTAGGGTTTAGGGCACCTATAATTAAACCCTCAAGCCTTCATGGCGTCGCAATGGAGGCTCGAAAGCACGCCAATGAGGGCGACTCCAGCCAGGAAATGAGGCCAGTCGCCGGCAGCCATGCTGAGGGAAGTGTAGGGTTTAGGGTTGAGGGTTTAGGGTTTAGGGTTCAGGGTTTAGGGTTTGGGGTTTAGGGGACCCAGGGTATATTAGGGCCTTTCTCCCCTGTTCAGCCACTTTGAACCAAAAAGGGTACACGTTTTATTCCTAGGTTACTCCTGAGTCTCGGTTCTTCATGCATTGGCGTGTCTCGTAGGCAGATTTTCGGGCTGAGGATCCGAAGAGCCCCAGTACAACTCACCCAACATACCCCAAACCCTACCTAAAGGCTCCTATGTGGTACCTTTTTGGGGTAGTATACTAGAACCCACCTATACCTAACCCAAAAAGGAACTACG